ATCTCTAATATATATATCATTTTCATCAATGTTTACTCCGATACCTGTCGTGCTTTGGTGGCGCAGTGTTTACCCCCTTTCCGGTCAGCCTACAGTCCACTAGTGCCGAAAAATCTAAAAAAAAATGTCTGACTGATCGCCTTTAGAATTTATTTTGTTTACTCCCATATTGTTGCAGCTAGGATAATTGGTGCCTTTGTCCAAAGGTCACAGGGTGAGAGGCAGGGTGTCCCTGGACAGATCACCAGTACATCACAAAACAACACTGAGACACACAGGACACATAACCAAGATTTTAACCCAGGAACATTTTGCTTTACGGCATCAGTGCAAGTAATCAATTTCCAGCAAAATCTTTGAAAACCTTCTTAAGCAGTGTTTAACCCCAAACCAAAATCCTTTCTCCAACAGAAGTATACCAATTTTATCTACCTCTGTTACAAAATTCAGACTCAAACCTCACATTTGACACCCACATCGGCCACCTCTGTAAGGTTTCTTTCCTCCACCTCAACAGCATTGCCAAACTCCGCCCCTCCCTCTCCCTACCGAATACTGAGAAGTTGATCCATGCCTTTAGCTCCTCCAGGTTGGACTATTGTAATGCCCTCCCTGTCAGGATCCCTGGCAAGTATCTGCAAATGCTCAATCATATCAGAACTGCGCTGCTCAGATCATGCCTGTCCTGAAGTCCCTAAACTTGCTGCCCATTCAACACAGAATTCAGTAAAAGATCTGTCTCCTTTCTCACCAGTGGACTTGACTACCTTAGAGAACTCTTCACCCCAAACACCTCCTCTTGGAATCTCAGATGCACCAACCATTGGCTAAACTCTCCACTATGGGAGATAGGGCCTTCGAGTCAGTTGCCCTACGGCTCTGGAATGCCTTCCAAGATATGCGGACGGTCACACAAACTGTTGTGGGCTTATTTTGTACTGCCTTTTAACATCCAGGATTTTAATTTTACCTTCATCGTCTTTTATTGTTTGTTGATTTGTTGTTATATCTTGGGACTGTTTTTAACGCATGCAAACCGATTAAAAGAAGCAAAAACAAAAACAAAAGCACCACAATTTTGTGTTGATTAGACCACTGCCTTCTCAGATCCACTGCTAAATGGTAGAGAAATCCCATCAGACACAAACCAGTTAAAGAGGAACAAAGTGTATATGAATCATTGGTGAGTGAGAATAAAGGCACAAGAGGGAATTGATTTAAACCAGTTGCTGAACCATGGTGAACTGAAACACTTCAGGTCTAGCACTTCAAAACACCACGAAGCAGAAGTCGACAGCAGACACCTCTTTACTACAGCTCTAGTTCATTTCAGAGAAAAGGCAGCTTTTAAAACCAGATGCAGCTTCCTGCAAACAGGCTTTTCTGTTTCGCTTGTGTTGAAATTAACCTTCATCAAATGCACATTCCTATCCCTATAACCAGCAATTATTATTATTTTAATGTCTAGTTTAAGGCTGTTTTTTATGATTGCTGCTCTGATAGGCTCTTTTTTTGTTAAGCTTTTCTTCAAACTTTAAATATTTATCGACTTTTTTTATTCATAAACCTGATTCTGATGAATACGTTTACCCTTTTATAGGGCACTCAGTAAAATACTCTGAAAATCTGAATTTGAGGCCGAGAATTTTATTGGAGGACAGGACATGACTTTATTACTTTTGTAACATTAAAAAAAAATTTATATTTTGATGGCAAAATTTGAGGTGAAAGAAACGGCCACTTGCCTTAATATATTAGGAAACATAGCAAAGTTGGTTCTATAAGAAATTCATGAAAAACACAGAGTGAAACAAACATAATTTTCTCGCTTCAACATATCCTAAGCTCCTTAATGCTTATACAGACACTTTAATTTTTTTGTTTTTTAACATAGCTTATTAACTTTTTAACTTTGATTTTGTTACTTGTCTTTTAGCTTTTTTAACCTTTTTAACCCCGCTTTTTACCTTTTTTTTCTTAACTACTTAACTTTGTTTCAGCTTAACTTGCATAAGATAATATTTCATTCAAGGGTTAATTTAGTTGGTCAAATGGCCAAAGAACATGTAGAACCACTTAGCAGAATCGGTGTTGAATGGCTGGATATCAATGTTGTGCTTCTAGAACTCACTGAGGGATGGGGGGGGCTCCATTTGTAAAGCTGGGCATATACTGTACTGGGCTCGATCGGGCTGACTTTTAGCCTGATTGTGCATTGTGTAGTGTACAGGGGTTAACGAGGGGCAATCAGCCTTTCACGACCACCTCCCAATCAGAAGTCTTAAGGTTGGGAGAAAATCAAACATTTTTGAAATTCAGTTGGCCGTCGTAAGGTTGCATCAGAGCGTTGGGCCGCACAGTGTGAGAGCAAGCATTGTGAGCTGTAAACTTTTTAACCCTGCGGTTTAGTGGTACAGCTTAAGCCAGTGGTTCCCAAAGTGTGGGGTGCGTCCCCTAGGGGAGGCGCAATGCCATTG